CCTCTCCCCCCGCGGTGACATGCAGCATAGCAATCAGCAGGACTCTAGGACTGCATGGATCACCACGTGGGGATTACAAAAGCAAAAGGCGCCGACAAAAGAAGTGCCGGCAAAAGTTTGGGCAAGTAGAGGTGAGTTTTTCTTCCCTTCCCTTCGCCACTGCGCTTTCTTCTGAATGTGTACTTCCAGGGATCCGACCAGTGTCAAGGGTACTTCGATGTTTGAAATTAGGTATTCCGCGGTGAACACCCGGCTTCATTTATTACAGCCATAAAATTCGACATTTCCGCACAATCTTTTGCTTAATCGATCTATAAATAAATTATGCGATCCGTCACCCTCAGTGGTGGCTGAAGTGGCTGTAGCTGTACGAGTGGTCGTGATGGTGATGGTGGTGGTCGTGGTCGTGGTGGAGCTCGTGGTGGTCGTGGTGGATGACCTCGGGGTAGTGGTGGTAGTGGGGCTCCTTGATGTAGACGGGGACCGGGTGCGGCACAGCGACGGGCCTCTCCACGGCCACGTGCACGGGGTAGTGCTTGATGACGGGGTAGGGCTGAGGCACGGCCACGGGCACCTTGACCGGCACGTGCACCGGGTACGGGACGTGCTTCTCGACGTGCACGGGGTAGGGCCTGTCGACGTGCACGGGGTAGGGCTTGATGACGTGCACGGGCACGGGCCTGTCGACGGGCACAGGCACGTGTACCTGGAAAACAAAGATGTGGGTGATTGGTGGTTTTACTCGGTTGGGGACACTTAACAAAGTAAGAACAGCCAGTTGTCCTGTTACTTCACTCAAAAGAAATGGGAAAGGAACATGGAAAGGTCAATAGAAACTCAGCATTATTAATGAAAAGTGAGAAAAATTCGAGAAAAATCGGGGTGAATCGAGAGTTGATAGAATTTGGTGAACGCTTCAAATTGATTGTGATGTACCTCCCGGATGCGCCAGCTTACCTTGACGGGCACGGCGACGTGCTTAATGACGGGGACGGCGTAGGGCTGCGGGATGCCGACGGGCACCTCCTTGGTGATGACGACGCTCTTGACGTGCGGCTCGCCCACCAGGACGTGGTGGTGGTGGTGGCCGTGCTCGTGTAGGTCGAAGGAGTAGGGGTCGCCGATGAGGCCGTGGAGGCCGCGCTTGTCTGTGCGCGACGACCTGGTCCCGTCGGCGGCGGCGGCGGCCTTGGCGGCCCCCTTCTCGGCCTCTGCCGGGGCGGCCAGGGCCGCGCTCACGCACAGCGCGCACAGCCCCCAGCCCAGCAGCGTGCGAGCCTGTGGGACAGGACAGAGGAGGGCGTCTGGAGTGAGCGGTGGGCTCGTCGAGGTGCTCGCTTGCGGACGCGGCCGCGTGTGCCCGACGATGGACGGGAGATACGCGGCCGCCGCGGCCCCAGCTCGCTCGCGCGCCACGGCGTTTGTCCCGGAGTGCATGCCCGGTGATCGATCGGGAGGTCGGCGCCGTCCTCCAGGGTCAGTGTCGCCTGGTGTCGCCGGTGTGACAACGATGGGGCGAGAGGAAGGGGAGGGGGGGGGGGCGGTAGCGAGAGACAACTTCGCTCCGTTCCTCTCGCACTTCATCTCGCGTATAACGCGCCGACGCTCCGTTCTTCTACCAAAACATCGTGATGCCACGAACAAGTCGCGCTAGCTTACGACGTTTCTTTTGTAACTCTTAAACACTCATCAAGCTATATAAATTGCGTACACCGTAAAACAGTTTTGTTATGGCGTCTGAATATTATTGGCCTCTCACAACTATGACTCTTCGCGCAATTTTTGACTTCGACTCTATCTGGTGGGCGTCGCAATCAGGGGGCTCAATTGGAGCGAAAGGGGCAGAATAAAATCCACCGCACTGAGAAATGCAGGAACCACACACGTCACACTTGGCAGAGCGACTACACATTGCCTTAAATTTCGTTACCCCTGGGAGAGCAAGAAGTAGTTTGCGAATTGCTCAGGCGACGGATTATTGTTCTTCTACTTCGGCTGTAGCCAAGCCCGACCCGGACCACCCCTAGTCATTTCACTGACCGTGAACTTGGCTTGTTTCACTACTTCACAAATAGCGCCGGCAGAGAGCAGCACAACAACGCACTGTTGTTTAGTCGCACTCGCGCACACGGCACATAACGCGACACACGGACACACTCACAACGCGCACTTACCGAGATCATCATGTCAGAGTACTTGGGTCACTGTGCTCGGGGCCGTGGCGGCCGGCACTGTTATATACCCCTCGTACATCACTCACAAGGGCTCATCTCGCTAGGAGGGGGGGGGGGGAGCTGAGCCCTGGCGGTGTGATGTGCGAATGTGTGGGGCGGTGAGGCGCCTGCAGCAGCGCCTTGCACCTGACCGCACACCGCGACCTCCCGCCCGCCCAGCCGAGCGCAATCCGACCTGCATTACGAAAATATCGTTTAACGACCTTGTCTACTACTTACTTCTCATTATTATAGTTGGTCCAGTGAGTGATCACACTGCTCTGCGACGGTAGCGGACTATTGATTTGTTTTAAGGAGAGCTGCTATGGACTTTTAACATGTGTGGTAGCTTTGTTGAGAATTATAGGCGCAGAACGCCGTCAGTGGTGGCTGTGCGCTATGGCTGTTGTTGCCATTGCAGAGTCGGTGGTGCAGCAGGTCAAGTGCGGGCCGCCTGCTCCGCTGAGCTGCTGCGCTGTGCCGGCTGGGCTCGGAAAGGCAAAGCTATTATCAGAATGTCGAAAGGATTCCCGCTCGTCGACGCCCACACCTCACATGGACGGGCACAACGTAGCGTTGTTTTGTTTCAGTTACTGTAACGTCGTTAGTAACTTTCATTCCCACTACGAAAACTTTCCTTAGTTTATTTTTTACACCAACCGACATGGAACTCTATTTGTATTCAGAATTCTAGATTTGCCCCCGCCCCTTTTCTAAAAAATGAAATAAAAATAGGTGCCCTCTCACGTGTTAAGGTTGCTGGCCGCGTCCTTACCTTCGCCCCAGCCTGCTACACATCATCTACCTCAGCCACAAATGAGTCAGCCCATCTCACCACACTTCAGAGGTGGGGACCGCCGACCGCCGCACCACCTTTCTTCTTCTTCTTCTTCTTCTTCTTCTTCTTCTTTTCTGTCCCTTTCTCTCTCTCTCTCTCTCTCTCTCTCTCTCTCTCTCTCTCTCTCTCTCCTTCCCCCCTCCCTCTCTCCTCCATCTCCCTTCCTCCTCCCTCTTTCATCCCGACCTTTTTCAAAACAAATAAATAAATTTCTCACATGTTTGTCTAGCATGACGCTCTGAAACATTTTTCTCAAACTACACGTTGGCGTGCTTCCGTCAAATCCCTGCCCCTCAACCCCCCTCCCTCCGATGACACTCGCCTGCTTGACCAAGGCCGAGCTGGTCCAGAGCGGCTGCTTACTTACCTAGTTTTGACCCAGTTTTGCCACCGTGTGCGTATCGTGCAGCAGCATGCTACTCTTGGGCGCCAGTGCAAGCGAGATAGATAAGAGCCTGCTGCATGTCGAGTTGGCACGAGAGTGCGATAGAGACAGGTGCAGTCCCCCCCTCCCCCCAAAGCCCCCCCCCTCAACCTCACCCACGCTGTGTCTCGTCTGTGGTGTTCTCGCACGACAGCACATCAGGTTCGACCACACTACTGCCCGCTACTGCCTTTGTTTTGTCTCGCCCGTTTCTTTGCCTTAGTATAAATTTGAGAACGAAGTAAAGTAGGCCTATCGCAAAAGTTCCAAAATTGTAGACTCTTTCGCGGCTTTTCAGTTTACACACTTAACAAAACAATTTTTGAATTTGAAAATAAAAGCTTACAGGAAGAGGTGCGTTGGTGAAAAATTTTGCTGGATGTTTGTGCTGTTGTGTGCTACAGAGCTACAGCAGTTTTATTACTAGGTCTGAATCTGTCAAAACGCGGTGCGCGTCAAGGCGTTTGATCCGATGACACAAATTCCCCCGTCGACGTGACATTGTCACACAGGTACGGGACGACGTAGTCGCCCCGTGATATAGTCACTAGCAGACACACAGGGCGACGGTATCCCCCCCCCCTCTTCCCCACTACCTGCTGCTCCTTTGCGTACCTGCGCGGTGAGGCCCGGGTGCCCGAGGCCCAGGGGGGGTACCATGTTGGATGGGGGGCGTTTGTGGCAGGTGAGGGGGGGGGGGGGCAGCGCGGGAAGCTTTCGCAGTAAATCCTCGCTTACGGCTGTGTTTGGAGCAAAGGCTTGGCCCACCCCTTCTCCCGCCGCCGGCCTACCCTAGGCCCACCCCCGCCGGCCGGACCACACGGTGGGGTCCATGAGGGGCCTACGGCAGGGCAGGGTAGAGTGCGCAAATACGCTCTGTTTAAAGGGGTCGCGGAACAACCTCTGGGCCCGCCAGACACGGGTTTTGGGGCGGGGGTGGCTTTGCTTAGCCGAAACAAATCGACACGAAATGATTTCGCTGGCGCCCACTGCTTGTCCCCGAGCGTAGCCGTGTGCAGCGGTATGGGCTTGTCCTGGAGCCGGCCGGTGGCACGCGCCTAGCCTACCGCTGGCCGAGGGTTCGCCGCTGGCCGCTGGCCAGCCCGCCGCGCAGCCTCAGGCTGCCCGCGGCCGGCCGGTCAGTCCCCGGCGCGAGTCCGCTTCGTTTCCAAACAAGGAGAAGTTGAGGGAACAGAAGGAACGTGGAGCAACGGGTTCGCGCGCCGTTTGTATCGCAGCCGCCGCCTCGCCGCCGGCGCCGCGGTGTACGAGAAGGAGACGGACATGCCGCGCGCTCTCTCGGCGTCGCGCCCAAGCCCGTCGCGGCGAGCTGCCTACCCCTTCCCCTCTCGCCCCTGACGGCCCTGCCTCTCCTGGAGGAGCAGATTGGGTTGCCTGCCCGCTGGGCGGCGTCGGCAGCTTGCTGCAGACTTGCAGACATAGGCGTGACATGCACTCTCAAACAGCGTTTGTTGGTATTCCATGGCTACGTGTGTTTGATTGCTTTTGTGCTTCCTTTGTTTCAGGGGGTGCGATGCCGAGTCGTCCAGAAAGTATTTTTCTCAGATTCATTCGGCGAGTTTCGGGGGAGTCCTGTGAGCGCCTGCGAGACTCCGGATAGGCCACTCCGCATTACGCGTATGCACCGTAAGCAGGATGTTGCCTACCAATCAGGCGCTATGAGAGCTTGCATTGGCTGAACGCTGAACTTGGCAGGTTGGTAATTGCAAATGCCGGACTTACTCCCTGGTTGATCCGCGTTCCAGTTGTCACGGCTGAACAATTAATTGAACGTTCTCCCTAGCGCGTTTTATATGGTCGCGCCGTGGTATAGTTTACCCCCCTAACGTGTTTGCCGTTTCGAAATTTTGGTGTCTTTATGAATGAGATATGCGTGGCTAGTTCCTGCTCCAGTTAGCCCGGCCAGGGGCCCCGCGCGGCCTGCGCAATGTTAATCGATCTACTCTTGGTCAAGAGCGCGGTGGGCGGCGCCGGCCACGCGGCCCACCCGACCGGTTTGGTTAAGCCATCTTCAATGAGCGCCTTCCTGCCGGCCAATTTGCATTGCATCGGAGGGGATCCCATAGGACACGGTGCTCGTATATGGTTTACAACATATTTATTTCTCTCTTCACGTTAACCGCGTCAAAAATCACAACGATTCAACAAAATTGCATTTAAAACATGGTGCAATGTGAAACATAAACATAACAAAACGCAGTAACATGCGGGCACACGCGGTGCTCGCTCTTACACTAGAATGACGTTCACAGTCTTGAGTTATGAAGCGAAGATGATTGTGTCGATGATGGACTAGAAATGACTCTGGAGTTGCCCCCTGGCGCGTTACCAGGTCCCGGCGGCGGGCTGGGCGACGTGCTGAGCGACGTGCTGGACGTGGTGCTGGTGGGGCGCGGGGTGAGTGACGTGCGACGAGTGCGCCTCCACGTGCTCGGTGACCTGGTGGGTGACGGGGGCGGCGGCGGCCTGCACGGCGTACGTGGCGGGCGCGGCGTGGTGGGCGGCGGAGCTCTGGAGAGCGTAGCCGGCGGGGGCGGCGGCAATGGGGGGGGGGCCCGTTCTGGGGGGGGGAGGGGGGGGGCTGGAGAGCGTAGCCGGCGGGGGCGGCGGCATGGGCGTCGGCCTGCAGGGTGTAGGTGGCCGGGGCGGGGGCGTGGGCGCTGGCCTGCAGAGTGTAGGTGGCAGGGGCGGCAGCGTGAGCGTGGTGCACGTCGTGGGCGACTGCCACGGGGGCGGCGTGCTGAGCGTAGGCAACGGGAGCAGCGTGCTGAGCGTAGGCAACGGGGGCGGCGTGCTGAGCGTAAGCGACGGGAGCGGCGTGCTGGGCGTAAGCCACGGGGGCGGCATGCTGAGCGTAAGCCACGGGGGCGGCGTGCTGAGCGTAGGCCACGGGGGCGGCGTGCTGAGCGTAAGCCACGGGGGAGGCGTGCTGAGCGTAAGCCACGGGGGAGGCGTGCTGAGCGTAGGCCACGGGGGTAGCGTGATGAGCGTAGGCTAAGGGAGCACTGTGGGCGACATTGATCGGAGCGGCGTGGTGGGCGTAGGAAGCATACCCCAGGGCCCCGACGTGAGCGTGGGCGTGGGCGTCAAGGTGGTGGGCGCCGTGGGCGATACCCAGAGGGGCGGCATGGGCGACACCCAGAGGTGCAGCATGGGCGATACCCAGGGGTGCAGCGTGGCCAAAGTGAGCTCCGTGCAGGGGCAGGGCGGGCAGTGGCGCGGCGGCGAAGGACTGGGTCTTCACGACGGGCACAGCGTGGGGGACGGGCACGGGGACGGCGACCTTGTTGATGACGGGGACGGGCACGGCGTGGGGCACCGGCACGGGGACGGCGACGTGGTGTGGGACCGGGACGGCGTGATGGACAGGCACAGGCACCGGGCGATCGACGGGGACGGCAACAGGAGCGTCAACGGGCACGGCCACCTTGACGGGCACGCCGACGGGGAAGGGGCGGTCGACGGGCACAGGGATGGCCTGGGGAACGGGGACGCCGATGTTCCTCACAACCGGGACGCCGTACAGCTGCGGAACGGGCACGCCGATCTTTCTGTTGATGAGGGTGTGGTGGCTCTCGGATAGGACGACTCCCTTGGAGTGGGCGAGCGCGGAGTAGCCGAGGCCTCCGAGTCCGCCGAGGCCGTTGTAGCCGAGGCCGTTGGCGTAGCCAAAGCCGGACGCGTATCCCAGGTTGAGGCCGTGTCCGCCGAGGTGGGCGTGTGGGGCGAGTCCTCGCTTGTTGACCGTCTTGTCGGCCGCCTTGGTCTTGTCGGCGGCGGCCACAGCCAGGACGGCGAGGAGGACAACCTGGGCAGAGAGAGCAACAGTGAGACGCCTGTTGTGTCCAGGACACGCGACCCGTCTAGAGGTGAGCGCCGGCGGACGGACACGGTCCAGGATAACCGTCCCCGACGCGTCAGCTCTGGGGGTGATGTGTCCTTGATGCCCGGGGAGCTCAAGTTGTACTTACGAATGCCTTCATGTTGGTGCGGGTCGGGTGGATGTGGACGCGGCGAAGCGTGTGTCGAGAATGGTTTCCGTGGGTCCTTGGGCAGCCTTATATACAGCCTCTAAAAGTGACGCCCCTGCTGCCAGGGCCGGGCCGGGCCGACCGGGCTCATGAGGGGCGTGCCGGACGCTGCGCTGCGTCCGGAGCGGCTCGGCCCGGCCGCCCCGTGCCCGTGCTGCAGCGCGCCCCGACGCCTCGCACGCGGCCCGCTGGCGTGCAGCTGGTATGGTGTGTATGGTGGGGTTGCTCGCTTGGTCCACACGGTCTGGGTCGCCGGCCGGCCGGCCGGCCGGACACCGTCGGGCTCCGGCCGGACGGCTGGCCGAGCTGCAATACCTATTGACCTTGCGGCAAGCGACGCCGGGGCGTGTTACAGTTTCGGACAGGCAGGACCCGACCCGCTGCCCAGGCTGAGGCCCAGAGGCCGCTCCACGCCACGACGTCGATGCCGCGCGACGAGCTGTCGTTACCAAATAACGTTGGTGTGGCCTGGTTCCAGTCTCGCACCATCGTCCCACGCGACTCGGTACGGGGCTCGGCCCGAGGTTTTGTCGTTTTGTGTCGCGGACTCAGTTTTCAAAGGGATCAGAAATTCGGACGGATCCCTTTCTCTGTGTTTAGTCCACGCAGTGCGTGGCGGCTTGGCCTGATGTGACGCGAACGGTGCGTTGCTACGGCTGGGTTTGTCATACCGACCGACAGCCGCATATATGCCGTGAGCTGCCTGATTTAATTTTCAGTCAGATTGCAGTGTACTAGGTTCATTGGGTTTTTGTTAGCGAATGGCACCGATGATCTTCCCCTAATTGATTGTCCCCGAGCCACAGGGTACAATGCGTAAGTTTTGGGTTACTTCCCGAATATGCAATCCACTTTCCATGAATCACCCCCCTTCACCCCCCTCTCCTCCCTCTTGCCCCCGGACCCTTCTCCCTCCCCCTCCCTCTACCTAACCTCTCACTAACCCCCTTCCCTCTCTTCTCTCTCCCTCTATGCCCCCTCTCCCTGGCGAAAACGGTAACTCTAGTTCCATGTTTCTTCAGAGTTTTCAGAACGTTTCCAGCCAGTTTCATCGGCGTAAACGGCGTGAAAACTCTTAATGATGAAGAAGAAACCGGGATAGGCTGTTTCTACAGAGTTTTCAATAACCCTGTAGAAACACGGTGCTGTAACTCACCGGAAACAGCCGAAAAACATGTGGCACCGAGTTATTTAGGAGTTTCCAGAAACACGGTTATAACTGTCACCAGAGTGAGTTTCCAAACAGTTTCCACAGCGTTACGAAAAACGGTTTGCTCGTGGTTTCTGACAAACGGTCTGCAAACTCTAAGAAAAGTAGGTACAGTGTGTTTTTGTGTGGTTTCCGTTAACATGGTGATAACCTCATACGGCATAAGTTTCTAAACGGTTTCTTCAACGTTATGAGAAACTTACCCAGCCAAAAATGATAATTTCTTTGACGTCGATTCGACCTCGACACTTCGATTTGAGTGGCAAAATTGCGTTTTTCGAGCATCGTCGACGTCGATTTGACTATACTGTACTAGAAACATGTTGCAGCTGGTTTTTGAAACATCCCGAACAATTAGTACTCAATAAGCGGAAATCTCCCTGAAAAGCCTTCATACAATTTTTCAGAAAACTGTGATATCTTCAGAAACTGCGTGAAATCCTAAACTGTTAACACAAATGTTCAACTGTTCACTTGCAAGTGTGCACCTCCCTGTAACACACATCTAAGTGCTCAACTTACTAGTTATACACTTGTAAGTGTTCAACTCAGCAGTTGTACACGTACACTTTTAAGTGTTCAACAAAGGGTGCGTTAGACAGGGCTGTTAAACATGTACGGGTGTAACTGATAAGTTGCACACATACAAGTGTATAACTAGAGATTTGAGCACTTGGATCTGGGTAACAGGAATTTTCACACTTGCAGGTGTTGAACAGCTGAACACTTTTGTTCATACTGCATCAAAACCATGGATGTCCTGGGACATTTTAAAATCCTTAAAATTTCAAAAAGTGCCCCCCCCCCCCCAAATGGAGCGGCGTGCTGGGCGTAAGCCACGGGGGCGGCATGCTGAGCGTAAGCGACGGGAGCGGCGTGCTGAGCGTAAGCCACGGGGGAGGCGTGCTGAGCGTAGGCTAAGGGAGCACTGTGGCCAAAGCCCCCTCCCCCAAGCCCCCTCCCCCACCTCACCCACGCTGTGTCTCGTCTGTGGTGTTCTCGCACGACAGCACATCAGGTTCGACCACACTACTGCCCGCTACTGCCTTTGTTTTGTCTC